GAGAAAAAGCCCGGGGGGGGGGGGGTTCGCGTTAACCCCAGCCAGCCACCCACCAACACCCCTTCGCGCACCGGCCCTGGGCACGCGGAGCCTGCCCCATTGTGCGACTCGATAGACCTGCCCCGGGGGCGGCGCTGGGAGACGCTGTCTGCGAAAGCACCTTAGAGACGAGAGTCATTTGGGCATCAGGGGACCGGCCCTGGGCACGCGGAGCCTGCCCCATTGTGCGACTCGATAGACCTGCCCCGGGGGCGGCGCTGGGAGACGCTGTCTGCGAAAGCACCTTAGAGACGAGAGTCATTTGGGCATCAGTTTTCATGAGTAAAGAAAAACCCTCCGATGAAGTGGTGGTGGCCCAGTTGGAAATAGGTCAATGGAGGGATGATAGGAGTTGCTATAGGGAACTTTCTGGGTGTCTGGCTGGTGAGTCTTACCCACATGCTCAGGGTTTAGCTGATCGCCATATTTGGGGTCAGGAAGGAATTTTCCTCCAGGGTAGATTGGCAGAGGCCCTGGAGGTTTTTCGCCTTCCTCTGTAGCATGGGGTACAGATCACAGTTGAAGGACTCTCTGCATGTTGGGGCCTTCAAAGTATTTGAAGGCTTCAATATCTGAGACATAGGTGAGAGGATTATTCTAAGAGGGGTGGGCGAGATTCTGTGGCCTGCACTGTGCAGGGGGTCCGACTAGATGATCATAATGGTCCCTTCTGACCTTAAAGTCTATGAGTCTATGAGCTTATGCCCAAATAGATCGGAGCCTTTAAAGCGCCACAGAACTCCTCGTTGTAATAGGATGGTGCGATTTCCCAAAGAACACAAGCCCGTGAGGCCAGCATTTCAGGACACCTCTGACCCTTGTGTAGCAGAAGCATCACCCATTCTCTCTCCATGTTTCAGCTCCCTTCCCCCAGTCCTGTGTCGTGAGTGACTTCTTGCCAACATAACATGCAAGTCCTCGTGTCCCCTGCCCTAGCCCAAGGCTCGTAAACAATGATGGTGGGACTCTATACTCCAGTCTGAAATCTGGGGGAGAATCTCCAGTCAGAATGTGACAAATGCGTGCTGTTTCCTCCTTTCCTTGGGTATATCAATTATTAGAACAGATCTTGTTACCCAAACTCCACTGCTATGCTCTCTCTGAGTCACTGTGCAGTGTAAGTCTAACCTGTTTTAGCTTTTCTTACTAAATGAAATCTCTGTTGAATTTGTCCCTTTCTGTAGATCATTAATGAAAATGTTATTGCCTGTTGTAGGTCACTTGATAGTACTCTTACCATAAATGTTTATTTTCAGTTCTCTTGTTTGCCAAACAATTTCCAGTTCATATTCAGGAATTTTAATCAGGCTTGGGACAATGCCAATTATCAGTCATTACCATAGAAAAGGACCAGCATTTTCATCTGGATACCTTGCATAAAAATTCATCGGTATCAATTTGCTATAGAGTTACTTTAATAAAGACTAAGGCTTTAAGCAACAAAGTGATTCATAATTAATATGGATTTAGTTTTGCAAGATTCCCTCTCAGAGGTTGTATACACAGAGAAATGGATGACCGGGGTGGACGGACACACGTTGCTGAGTACTTTATCTGCCATGCCATTCTCTGTGAGGCGGATGATAAAGATTGTAGCAGGAGTAGATGTTGCCCAAATGAGATATTTGTTTGAGAGTGATTAAAGAGCAGGCGTATTATCTCCAAAGAGCATTCTTTGTGCCCCAGAACAGTGTTAACTGTGCTAACATTTCCAGTTTGTCTTCTGTACAGCAAAATAATAATTTTAAAAGATAAATTACGGAGATGCTTGTCATGTTAGATCCGGGAGAGGCCGTAGTTAAAGCAAAAAGTCTAATAAGTCTATCACAGGGTAGCTGATATCAAAGGGTGAACACCTAACCTACCTGGGATAGGCTTGTCTAAGGAGAATAGGCCAGCTCAGATCCTCCTGAGAGTAGTTAATTGCCTAAAAGCTGGATGACTGGCAGTTATTTAGTTAAGGAATACCTGGGCCTAATAGAGGCTCATGAAAGCTCAGTAAGGGGCCATCAGACCAGAGAAACAGCTCCTGATAATAGTAAATTTGTATGGGAACTAGTGAGAGAAAGTTTACCAACAAAGAGGATCTAGAAGAGATGCTCCTGGGGAGAGTAGGTCCTGAAAGGGCTAGAACAGGCAAAGTCCACTCCTCCCAGATAGTGGCAAGGAGTCTAGATCGTTAGAGAGCTATGTGCTCTTTTACAGAAGAGCTGTAGTGG